GAAACTGTATCTAAGTTATTTATGGAAAAGCACCCCAGAAGAATGGAGCATACTAACATGTTATTTCATAGTGTATACATGTACGTATATTACAGCCAATGAATGAAATAACTGATATACTATTGTTGTACAGAGTTGTTTAAATTAGTAATATAACTTAACAATTAATAAATACTCTATATATAGATAGTACAGTACTTTATTGTAATAAAACATATATATTTATAATAATTAACTCTAGTTCCCCATGCAGTGTTACAACATAATGCTGATTTATTGACTTTTCATTGGATGTTTGTGGATATTATGTGAACAGCCATGCAATTGTTTGAGCTATATTTCATGCAAAATTGCTCCCAGATTTAATCTAATATCATCTATGTTTTACGAACTTCTGGGGTGGGGGGGGGTGGCATGCCCCCAGATCCCCGTGGCATTAGCATGCTTTGATTGCTGATTGTACTCTGCACAATTATGTTGTCTTTTGATCTCACAAATTAGAATACCCCTTTCAAATATTCTACCTGATCTGTCCTTCTGCATACAAATTTGATACTCAGATACAGCACATCTCATATTATATTATATATTTTAAATGATATAACCTTTTTTTCTTCTTAATTGCTAAAGTTCCAATTCAAAACATGCTACATCCATGTGCTGATTCAACGCTTGTTGGAAGGTTGTAATATGTTCGACATCATTTTGAGTATGTGGGATTTATTAGACATAGAGCAAAGATACTTCCATGTGCTTGGGATTCATTTGTCTGATTGGTCAACTGCAGAAGAATGTAAGAATAGGTGTGACGATTTCCAACCAGATTCGTGTGGCTCGCTGGTAACGACTTCATTGTTCTGAAAGCTTATTTCAATAGAACTTTATCGTTATTTTATTTCATTATTTACAATTACACATTTTCATGTATGTCATCCCAATGTAATAGTCCCGATCAGCTATCATTTTGCTTGACCAGGAAATAAAGTATTTCCAAATAATAAGCTTATAAATCACTTGTTATTACAAAGGTCATGTAGCTGTGTGTTTGGTTAGTCTTTGAAACATCACAGTTTCTCTGGATGGAGATGTCACCGACTAGGATCTAGTTATTGTAGATGTGATAGTTGATTCGTGTCTTCCATTATTTTTCTCTCATGTTCCTTGCGAGATATTATATTAGATATACCATCTTAACTTTTGGTTCAGCAATAATTGTATGTTTTAATTGATATTGTTCGTTGTTGGATTGGAAACTGAACTCCAAACTGCAGAATCTCGAGCTCCTACTTTCTGGATATTTTTTAAAACCTTTTCTTGTCAGTGTATATGTTAATTAAAATAACACCGCGAATTAATTTTACCCCAAAAGTTTTTGCATTCGGAGAGAAGTCGGTGTAGAGTTTCTGGGAATAACCGACACATTGGAGATCACGTGACGAAGTACGTCATCTTTCCTGTCAAGAAACTAAAGATGTGTTACGCTGGGCCAATTAGACAAGTACTTATAAACGACTAAACAGGGTTAAAGAAGAGCAGAAGAAACGTTACTTGTAAACTACTGTGTTTATTCAGGTAAGCCATATATAGTATTTATGATTCTTCTGTTTCAATTGTTTAATTTACACCAACCAAACTCCCTTTCTCATGTATGCATAATTTTCTAATACTGTTTCATAAGTTTGTTATGTATATATATATATATATATATATATATATATATAGTAAGTAA